ACCTATGGGAATATTCAAATGGTGCATGTACTCATGGAGTAAACCCAAATAAGGATTTTTTTTCTCAAACTATATATGTTTTTGACAAACTTCGTCAAATCTAAGCATGGACACCACATAAAATGCCTTATATTTCAATACATATTTTAGAAGTCATAATGCATTGTATTTTAGGATAGATGGAGCAGATTCAAAATATAAATCGCTTGGGATGTTGTGGTTTCCAAATATGTTGTTCATTTGTGAAGTTTAAATGAGAGAGAAAAATTAGTGTAGCTCAGTTGGTTGGATTGAATGTGGTGGAACCTGTCAACTCGACATGGGTGCTCGTATTTTTCTGTATTTTTCCTAGATTTAACAACATTGTTCTTTTAGTGATAGATGGCGTGCCTGTCGACAATAAGACTTCTGTAATGACTTCATCAACATTGAGATCTACCGACTCTGTCTTAGTTTTTAAGAGGTGATTATAGGAGTAGGGTATATGTATGTGCGTTCATAAAGATGAGAGTTTAGGGATAAGTTACGTATATGTATTGAGTGTTTGCGTGAAATAAAAAATAAATTTTGATATAGTTTATCAAAAAAAATATGCAACCTCATGATATATCAAAGCTATCCGCCAATCTAGACAACTCTTTGTACATGTAATCACCAAATGAAAGCAAAATGTTTGACTAACACACATTCTCAAACGGCTTAATCATACACTATATATATACATGTTAACAATTACATGTATATATATGTTGTGAACCCGGGACCCGGCTATACCTACCGATCAGATTATATATGTCTCTATATATGACTTGGCTGTATAACTAGTTCCGAATAGGGATTAAATTCACACCAAACCGATAGTTGGCCATGCAGCCCATGACGTGCTGGGTCGGCCTGAAGCTCGCTTTTGGCCCCATTTTAAACCCGGTGGCTGGGTGGGCTCTGTGCCACTGCCCGGTGGGGCAGGCCGTGCTGCGGGCCGCCTCCAAGACGCGTTAGGCGGCCCGGCCCGGCCCGCTATTCAATAGGAGGCCCGTTAGCGGCCCGCCTCCCCACTCGGCATCCCTGTCCTAACCGGCTAACCCTAGAAGCATTCCCCTGGCGCCAGACTCGCACTCGCCTCTCTATCTCTCCTTTCGCAAGTCGCTACTGCCGCTTCCACTCCTCCGCCTCCGCACCGCATTCAACTCCTCCCACGGGTCGTGGCTCCAGCCCCGCTGCCTCCTCGCTATCCTCCTCCTCCACGCCCCAGCACCGCTGGCCCTGCTCTGTCCCCCCTGTGCGGCCACACTTAGCTCCTCCCTCTCGGATCTCGCGGTCGTGCTCATGAAGTCGCGAACCTCCGCAGCTCCTCCATGGCGGTGTCAAGCAGCGGCGGGCGGCTTCGAGTGCAGCAGCATCGAGCGCTTCCTCCACGCCCCCAACCCCCACGCGGCCTCGTCCTGTTGTGGGTTGTTGGGTGCGAGCGCGCCGTCGGGCACCTCTCTGCCTGCCCTTCCACACCTCTCTCAATCAATGGGCCTTGGGCACGGCAACGGCCGCCTCCTCCACGACCCCCGCACGTCTGGCCACCTCCTCCGTGTCCCCCTGCAGCGACTTCGAGCGGAGCGGCCTCGATCCAACAGGACCACCGCGAATCCGCCAGCTACTTCGCCGGACTCGCCTCCTCCGCCAGCTACTTCGCCAGATCCTACATCAAGCGACCCGAGGGCGAGCTCGCCAACGGCCGCCGCCACCTCCACTCCTCGCCTCCCCCTCCTCTCTGTCGAATTTGGTGGGCCTCGGGGTGGCCCGACCTGCTAAAAAGGCCGGGCTCATCGGGTCAGCCCGACACGGAAATTGGCCCGACAGGCCGTGCCTGGGCCGTCGGCCAGGCACAATGGACTTGTGCAGCACGGCCCGGTGGCCCGATGGGCCCTTCCGTGCCGTGCCCTATCGGACCGTGCCTAGCACGGGCCCGTGTCGTGCCGGACCGGGCCGGCCCGTTGGCCATCCATAACCAAACCCGCGATAACAATGATCGTACTACAGCACATGTATAGCTCTAGCTCTTCGCACACAGCTATATATGACAGGACGACACGATGAGGATTTTTATAGGTTAGTGTGTGTGTGTGTGTATATATAGGGAGGGTATATCCACAAGTGAGCTATAAAATAAGTTATTCTGTAGCCATCTCCATTTACGATAATTTTATATACTAATTTACGATAATGTCAATACATATTTACGATAGTTGGGTTACTATAACACATAGGGATATTTACCATAACGTTATAGTAAACCACTTAGCAAGCAGTTACTATAATCTCGTAAATTAACATAGTAATTAGCGTAACTCAAAGTTGCTACAGGATAAGTTATTTTATAACCAGTTACAGAATAGTGGATAGTAGTTATATGTATATATATGAAATATGTGATATACCTTTGGATTCCTTGTTAACACGTGGAGGACTGAAGTGTCCACATGAGGATTGAGGAGATAAGCTAAGGTGGTGTTGCACCTGGGATTTTGGCCTTTCGATAGACAAAGACCTTACATGTCAAGTCACTGCAACTAATCAATTGAGTCAAGAATCAAGAGTCAAACAAAATGATAGATTGGATCTGTCGAGTCGTTATTCGACGAAAAACAATAAGACGAGCAATCGAGTTCACACGTATCCTTTTGATGTTATATATCTCAGTTTTTTTTCCGTTCAAAAAAGTTATATCTCAGTTTAGAAATCCAGAAGCATTTTATGCTGGAAAATTTTACACCAGTTTTTCTTTTACTGAAATGAGTGGCGGGAATAAAGAAGAATCTTGTACTAGATTAGAAATGAAACAACAATCGAAAATACGGTACCCTGTTCTGCTTGTCTAGTCTCAGCTTGTTTATTCTCTCTCACAGAACACTATTGAATCAACCGAAATAAGTTCGAGATGTGACCAGCCGAAATCATCAGAGAAGAAGAAAAAGGCGTTGCATTGCATCCTCATGCGGACACACAAGATAATAGTGAGAGGCATGCATGATCTCAGGTACTCTAGGTGATAATAAAAGCTAGAGGCAAGTTAAGAATCCATGTGGTGGTGCCGCTGGTTTCTCTGTTGTGCAGTTCTGCACCTTCATCAATTGTCCCTATTGCCCCTCGCCCAAAAAAGCTCCAACAAGGAAATATTTGCAGCATCCCTTGTTTGGTTAGGTCGTTGTAGACGTTGGCACGATCAGTGCAGGGTGATTCTGCACCGCCTCCACGATTTCCTCGACACTGTTGGCGCCGATGACCTAGGTCATAGATCCGACCGTGAAGGTCTGACCTGGCTCGGGAAGGATCATGGAGCTCGGGAAGCGGACCATCTGGCTCGCTATGGAATCAGCACGCACAGGCCCTATCTAGCACGTCACTGTCGACGAAATCTGGTCGGCAGTCTACTAAGGGGTATACCCACGGTAGTAGATGAATCGGTGGATGTGCGCGTGATAAGAACCAGATGGTGACACAAGCGCAGAGACAGCGATTTAGACAGGTTCGGGCTGTCTGATCGACGTAATACCCTACATCCTGTGTCTTCGGTGGATTGTATTGAATATGAGATGAATTCGAGGGGGTCCCTACCCGCCTTATATAGTCTGAGGGGTAGGGTTACAAGTCGGTTTAGGCCTAGATCTATTCGGTTATATGATAAGTATTTACAAGGAATACGATATCTATCATATCCAAAAATATCTTCCTTTATTGTCAAGATGTCTTCTGATTGCCTTACGGTGCACGCCGATCAGAGCCGAGCACCGTAGGCCTTGATCTTATGGGCTGAACCTCCCCTGGTGGTGCGGCTCATGTTTATTGCCGTGGTTACCTAGGGTTATAAACCCCCCCCCTATCCCCACACCACACCAAAGCGAGATAATTACTAAATTATTTTTGACCTGGGCTTACGGCTGGACCTACATACTCTCTGTTCGTTTGGCTTATAAGCCGTACTTTTTCAGCTAACGAATATTATTTTTCTCTCACAATAAATCAGCCAACGATACTTTCAGCCATATCTTATCAGCCAAGCGACCAGGCAAGTATTTGTTAACATCCACGCTCCACGTTGTACTTTGGTCTTTTACGTTTCCTGTTATTAATAATATATATGGTCCTTTTTGTCGTCAGTCTACCTATATTATTGATAAAATGCATACACATATTGTTTTTCTTTTAGAAAGAGCCACCAAGTTGCCACCTTATTATTCTCCGTTGTATGTATATTTCGTTAATAAGCCCTCTTGTCACTGAATGATTTGCTGCTGCGCAGGCCACAGGCATGGGTTGGGAACTTGGGTGGGAGGGATTCCGCCCGAAAGGATTTGCCAAGGAACCACCGGCCCCGGCCCCAATCGGCCAGTCGCCCGCGGGACAGGAAGCGTCAAAGCGTCTGCCGCCAGGGCGCCAGCGCCGACACGTGCCGGCACGGCCGAGTTCCAGCGGGCACCCGTCACGGCCCCCCTGTCCACCAATCCCCGGTGCCATCACGCCGGTCGCGGCCGGACGTGTGCTTGCGCGGGGAGAGCGAGCGATCCAACCATAGCCACACAGGCCGGCCATTCCTCCTCCCGGCCCCCAACTAACCCCGTTCGTTCTCGTCTGGCTCTCGATCGGCCACCTCCCGAATCCACCCGGGGCCGGTGGGCCTGCAGCTGCTGCGGGCGTCGCCACGCACGCAAGCGGACAAGCATCCGCGTGCTTATAAGCAGACCCTCCCCTCCCGTCCCCAAGAATTCCATTCCTCCGTTTCTCCTAGCTACCTAAAGCTTCTCTCGCTCCCTCTCCTTCGATCCAGGGTGCGAGCTGAGAGCTTTGGTTAGTTTTATTAGTTTAGTCTCCCCAAGCTCGTGGCGCACGCAGCAGCAGATTCGTTGGGAGGTGGATTAGCAGCCGACGCCTGCAGCTATCTATCTAGGGTTTTGTAGTTAGTTCCTCGCAGTCGCAGGCTCGCTTGCTTACTAGCGTCTTCGGCCGGGCCAATGGTCATGGCGAACCCGGACATGCTGCCGCCGGGGTTCCGGTTCCACCCGACGGACGAGGAGCTGATCCTCCACTACCTCCGCAACCGCGCCGCCAACGCGCCGTGCCCGGTCGCCATCATCGCCGACGTTGACATCTACAAGTTCGATCCATGGGACCTGCCATGTTAGTACCCTGTACCCGCGCGCGCCTGCACTCTCTCGCATCATATATCTCGTGAATTAGGATCTCGTGATCCAGATCCATCCATGCATGCACACGATCGATCGAGATCCCCGCTCGCGATCTCTAGCTAGCTAGCTGATCCGTGTGATATACAAATAGTATATAGCTGGGAATTTTTAACAGCGATCTTGCCTTGATGTGTGTATCGCAGCCAGGGCCGCGTACGGGGACAAGGAGTGGTACTTCTTCAGCCCGCGCGACCGCAAGTACCCAAACGGGATCCGGCCGAACCGCGCCGCAGGGTCCGGCTACTGGAAGGCCACCGGCACCGACAAGCCCATCCAAAGCAGCGCCACCGGCGAGAGCGTCGGCGTCAAGAAGGCGCTCGTCTTCTACCAGGGCCGCCCGCCCAAGGGCACCAAGACCAACTGGATCATGCACGAGTACCGCCTCGCCGCCGACGCGCACGCCGCACACACCTACCGCCCCATGAAGTTCCGCAACGCCTCCATGAGGGTACGATACGTTGTTAATTCGTCATTGAACCTTTTGCATACTTACAATCCATGAAAAAATGAGTTAAGTTCAAAGAACAAAATGATGAGATCCTACTAGCTTTTGCCTTTTGCCATGCATGTAGTAGTAGTATATATCTCTCTGCATGTCAGTATCATGTTAGCCACCAGTTGCATGCGTTCCAGCCATACGCTCAGTTTGTTGTTGCACTGCTTGCGCATGCAATCACCGATGCAACCCCTTGCACCCTGATCTATCTTTTTGGCGATGTTTCTGATGATGCGGGTTCCCGGCACGGCAATGTTCTTTATCGCATCGGTTTTCTGGCTTGCCAATAGACGCAACGCAAGGGCCACTTTAGTCTGTGCGGCGCGGCTTTCTTTCTTTAAAAAATGTTCTTTAGGCATACTTGGCATGGTTGCACCAAGTCAATTGATCCGACAACGATAGCCGCGATGCGTACGTGTTGACGATTGATTCATCTACACCCGATTTGTGTAGCATTGATTATTTAACAGAATTGCTATAAGTCAGTCGGTTGATTTAGCCCCTGCCACATGCGATTTTGTGGCCGTCAAATCAAGAATCGCACGGTCGTGGTGCTCCGTCAGTTGGTCGCGCGAGACGGGCTGCCGGTCCCCACCACATGCTCGTGCTCCAGCGTTCCAGGTCCCGGTCGTCCAGAATACACGCACTTATGTCCGTGGTTGGTCCGTGTACGCCCGCGTCTACACCCGTGTATAGCTCCAGCGGAATACAAGTAGTATGTACCGTGTACGCCCAGCCCACATGTATATTTGTATTTTTTCTGAAATTTGTGAATAATTTGTGAACAATTTGATGATATTTGTGAACGATTTAATATATATTTCTCTGATATCTGAAATACATAGAAATAATTTGTATTTTTTTTCTGAAAATTTTGACATATATTTGTGTTATTCTCAAATTACACCACTATGTCCATTAAATTACACTGAACAAGTTATTGTAAATATAGTAATAATTTAATGTAAATATAGGTAGAAGACAATGTAAGTGTATGAAAAAAAATTCAGTTGATAGTAGAGACAAAAACAACTAAATGTCACATGGGCAGATCCTTATTTTAATCTCCATCCTATCTTCTCTTCCTAATTTATCTGTGCAGCTGGATGACTGGGTGCTGTGCCGGATCTACAAGAAGGCCAGCCACGCGCCGCCGATGGCGGTGCCGCCGCTCTCCGACCACGAGCTGCAGGACGAGCCCTGCGGCTTCGACGAGAACCCGTACGCCGCGACGAGCGCCGCCATGCTCCTGCAGGGCGCGTCGTTCCCGGCGCTGCATGCCGCGTCCACCGGCGCGCAGAGGATGCCCAGGATCCCGTCCTTCTCGGAGCTGTTCAATGACCCCTCGCTGCTGGCGCACTTCTTCGAGGAGGGCGGCATGCATCAGGACATGGCACGGCTCGGTAACCACCAGCAGCACGCCCCTCTCCTCGGCCGCCCCGTCACGAGCCAACTGCTGGTCAACAGCGGCAGCAGCATGTCCCCGGGGCAGATCCAGCAGATGGATCCGCCTGCCTCGACGTCGGCCGCTGGCGATGGCGCAGCTGTCAAGCGCAAGAGATCATCAGAGGCGAGTGCTGCTAGTGCCAGTGCGCTGTCGAGCCAGCAGGCGTCTGCAGCCAAGAAACCGAACGGCTCCTGTTTTGGTGCGACGACGACGTTCCAAATAGGCAACGGGCTGCAGGGGTCGTCGCTGGGCCAACAGATGCTGCTTCATTCTTCTAACATGGGGATGAACTGACTGACACATTGCTGTTCTCCACTGAAAGTTATGCTTGAGCATTCAATTGTGATTTGAACATCGGGATCTATTTCACCAAATATATATAGGCCTAAAATATACTCCATATAAAGCAATGGTTAATATATACACTAGTAGTAGGTAAATCATTAAAGGGATTGTACTTGTAGAGTCCAGTAGTAGTGTCAATGCAACTAGCTAGTTGCTAGGGACGCCATAGTTGATTGGGTTTGCGGTGTGTTTACATTTTGTTCTCCTGTACATAGTACAATACTATGTACTCAAGCTTACTACTACTATTACTACAAAGCTAGCTAGATAAGGCTTTGGGATCAATGAACTGGAAGTCAAGGACAGGAGAAAGGTGTTAATTAATATCCAACCGGCTTTTTTTTTCATATATCTGCATGTAAAACATTGGCCAGGTGTAATTCTTCAATGGCAGCCATCATTCATTAAGCCTTATTATGCCATCCCTCTGTCTCACGCAAGGTTTTTTTTATCGGCCGAAATTCACCGAAATTTCCGAAATTTCCCTTTTATCCACAGGGTCCGATAAAATTTGACATCGGTCAAATTTTTCCCTTCTTTCCGGCTTCCACACGGACAACCCAAATTCAGCCGTGCGACGGTCCCACACTATAAAGTTTTATTCTTGTTTTTATCTGTGGACAAGTGATGTTTAATAGCTTAGGAATAGTTTCAAGTGAAATTCTACGAAATTTTTTCAAAACAATTTGAATTTCTTTTGAATTTGGTCCGATATTTCCGATATATCTTGCTTATTCTATTTATCCATGACCTCCGATAAATTTTTATTTCCGATAATGAAAACCTTGGTCTCACGAGCAAAACAGCCAAGTAAGCTAAGTTTGGATCTGATAAGGTTGGGTTAAAGCCAAAGTAAGGAATGAATGGAGAAGCACAGTCTGGCTCTATAAGTAAGGAAATATCTCTATCCGGTTATTTGTAGTGAAAATCTGTCTCGAGGGGAGCAAGCAAACTCCAAATTAATATGAATACGAACCTGGTTCAACAAGTCGAAAGTCATAGGAACTTAGAGATTCGGTTTCTTATGTAACTCGCTTGCTAGAAACAAGTCTTGGATGCCACAACTCCACATCCAGTCAGTAAGTCTGTAAGTAAGGTAACTTAAGAAAAGCGAGCCAGATAAGATTGTTAAGAATCAAAGCGAGTCCAGCAGATGATGCTTAATTCCTCAGAGTAGGAGAAAAAAAGCTTAGATCGTGCTTATATACCTCGACGCTTTCAGGATTACATCCCGGATAACCAAAGCAATGCAACCACACAGGTGTCACTCAAAGAGAAAGCGAAAACGAATTACCATAGCCACCAGCAGGCAGTTGAAATTCCTGATGGGATCGAGAAGATAATAGTCCATTCAGAATAAGGGCAAAGAAAAGGAAATAAGGGAAGGAAAAGAGAGAAAATGATGGCTTGTAAAGCTGTCAAGTTGCGGATGGCTTGTAGTTTTCGGGTCAGGCGGTGGATGAGAAGCCTCCTTTTCTGCTCTCGATCACCGGGTGAAAGTGAAAGAGGCCCCTGCCTGGCTGCCTGTGCTGTGTGCATGCAGAATCTCGCTCGCCCGCCAGCATCGGAATATTTCAGGCACATCAGCAAGTCCCGGCCCGTCGGCGTCACTGAACACAACAAAACTGGCAGCTAGTCCGTTTGGCGCCTCTGGGTGGGGTCTACCGTCTATGCACTACTCCTACGCAGGCCAGTCCTGCAAGTTGTTGAGTAGTGAGGCGAAGTGATAGAGAATTAGTGCAGGAGATTCTCTGTCAGCCAAGAATCAGTCAAATCGTTGAACTTCACGCATGCAGGAGAATTAAGTTAGCTGGCTTTCAATCGGATGTGTTGAAGTTTTTCACGGCTCTGTTCAGGTTCCTATTACTACTATTCTGCTTTGAATGTTAAGACTTGGGTGTTTTACTGAAACTTAACGACCAGGGGAAAAAAAGTTGGTGGTGGTGGTAGCTGTAGTATCAGGCTATCAGCTGCTGACAGAGTCGCTGCATGAACAAAATCAGCGCACAGTCGCACACGCAATGAGGCAAGAAGCATTTCTTATCGGAGATCAGTGATTCGTGGTGCTGTACTTTTTAACTCATTAGTTTAATGGCATAATAATCAACACGTACGAACGAAGATGCTTCGGCCTATTCGCTTTTATATATGACCGTGAATTATAAATTGAAATAGTATTTTTTTCTCACACCAAACCTGTCAGCAATAAATAATCCAGGATCGTTTACTACCAAACCAACTGGCTCCGCAAGTAAAATTTTCCCCGCCGCGCACGCAACCGAAGTAGCACGTCAAATTAATTTACCGCTGGCAGTTGATTCCCCGTCCAAATTAGCCGGAGTTATTAACAATAGCCATTCCAGCTCGTGCTTTATCTCTCCCATGCAGATAAGCTTAGAAAAGTCGTGGAAAAGAATCCCGAAACCCCAGGAATCTCCCGAAGGGGAAGAGAACGAACAAGGACAGAGAACTCGCCGAGTAGTTTAGCCATTTCGCACCGTAGATTCAGGGTATATTCCTTGCGGCCTCACCTCGCTGCTTTCCCGTTTCGGCAGGCAGCGATCGCACAGCTGAGAGAGATGACTACCTGTCTCTCACGTATCTGCAATCTACTGGCCATCAGAACTTGCCACAATATAATATCAGAGAGGGGCCAGCTGACGTGCACCTGTAATCTGCCATTCGTGCTCCGTTAGCAGCCAAGCATTTGCATCCGGACCAGGTGCTACCTGCTGAGTATTTTACAGTTGAGGAGCCTTCAGAGTGATGAGGAACGCTGCTGGCGTGGAGAGAGTTCTTCCAGGGGCTACCAGGATTGGTCCAGCGCACGCCCATCCAGGCCCCAGAAAGGAAACCGAGCGCAGACCGAGAAGCAGATCGAAAGGGTAATCGCTTTGACGCTGGCTTCAGGCGGCTTTGCTCACTGCATCATCGGTTTTAGTTGTTTATTTTAAAAAAATGGAACTTGTTGGCATTTAAATTATTTATTTATTTTTATAATCCTGACATTAGTATTTTTATGAATTAGTATATTGCAAATGTATGTTGCTAACATTAGTATTTTTATAATTCCGGCATTGGTATTTTTATAACCAGTCATTAGCTTTTGACACTTATTAGATTTATACCATCAGATGTGTTCATGTACGTGATGTACCTCCACGGTGCCACGTCCGGCACGGCCACGAGGCCGCCACACCAGTTTGGAATATGTCAGAGCATCTCCAAGTGTGCCCTATATTTTTTCCCATTTATCTTTTTTTGAGAAAAAGGAAAAAAAACTCATCTCCACGAGTTCTCTATATCTCTTCCCCATCTTTTCGCACTTGGCAAACCACCATCACTTGCGCGCAAATATACACGCGACCTGGGAGAGCGCATCTAGAGTTTCCCCGCCCGCCTTCTCCTTCCCGCGCGCCGCAATCCTTCCCACGTGACATCTCCTTCACGCCATAGCCCAGGTTCCGTCCAGGGGAGACGATCTTCGACGCCGCCATTGATGTACTCGTCCTCTCCACGTCGACTAGGGTTTCTGGTTGCTAGGGTTTTGGTAGCCGCCTCCTGGAGGACACGGCAGCAGCAGGCACAGCCTTCGCTAGCATGCCTCTGCGCCACCCCTTGCCGCCGGCGTGGCCCTTCTGGCCGGGATCGGCCGCTCGCTTTTGTCGGCGCGTTGTGCGTTGCGAGCCTTAGAACAAGAAGGGTGTGGGAAAAGAAAAGGAGGAAAGACAGGGTTCCATGTGAGAAAAGCGCAAGAGAGAAGGATCTAGTGGAAGGGCTTAAACACGTATAGAAACAAATTCAAGGTTCCTGATGCAAAACATGAGACCAGGTCGTGGGAAAAAAGAGCCAAGAAAAAAACTTTTAGAATAAATATATAGGAAAGTCTCGGATATGACCTCTTTTTTTCCTCCCCATACTAATTTGGGAGTCGACAAACACCATGTTTTGGGGAAAAATATCCCCTCTTGAAGATGCTCTAAATGGCGTTGTTGCATGCGTATATGCTCATGCTGTACACGCGTGCACCCATATATGGCAAGAAACAAGCTATTCTTTTTTTTAGACAAAAGAAGAATTATATTAGATCATAGTTGAGTAAATCACTATGTTACAATCACAATGGAATACACTTTGTATATCCAGAACCTGATCATCTAAATGTACCCACGCTTTGTATAGCCCAAAATCTCAACTCCAAACCTGTATCATGATCCGTATAGATGACTGCACAGGCAAACACTCGACAAAAGGCCTGAGAACATATGCCCAACGAACGACGGCCAACATTCCTGCAGGCGAAGTGGAGAAACTTCTTCTTTCTAGTGTTGTGGCAGAACCTCCTAAATTATAGGGCCCACATGCACCTGTCACTGTTCAACGACCTTTGACACTATACATACGTTCCCGGTAACTTAAGAAGACTGTCGGACGTCCTCAGGGAACCCCGAATCATCCACGATTTCCGAGCAGGATCACATTACAGAGTCATTGTAGTATTACAACAGTTTATTCAAATAGATACACCAGAGTAAAAACAGCGGAAGTCTTACAATAACATAGTTTACAAACCGTTTGTTTCAAACCATACAACTAAGTTCAATAATTAATACAAAACAAAGTAGTGGAGTGATATTATAATATAATACAGAACACACAAATAAGCTGCCCTGCCCAAGGCCACACATTTACTGATCGTCATCGCACTGAACAACAGTCATGCAGCACGATCCAAAACAGATCTGCTTATGAGCCACACCTGCAACAAGGGTCAATGAACCCTGAGTACAAAAGTGCTCAACAAGACTTAACCGAAATAAAAACTGATAGAACTTATGAATGCAGACTCGGGGATTCAAGGTATGGCTTTAGCAATAATCAAAGTTCTTTTGCGTAAAAGTTTTTTAATAAAATTCTTTACATTAACATTTAAAACTTCATAAACTCAT